CTATTTCATGCTCTATAGACATTGTTGCAAGTCCAACAAGTCTCTCTTGCACCATTTTTAAAGCAGATAAGTTTTTATCAATTTTAACTTTGAGAAGCTACTTTCCCCACTAGCTACGGAAACTGGCAAAATTAAAAGAATGCGTAGAGCTATAAAAATGTTTGGAAAACTGTCAGAGTTTATTTTCACAAACAAACTTCAGTACTTTTTCAGGAGTGGAATGTTTCTTAAGTCAGCATGAAAAAGCCTGAAGCTCACTACACAAATCTGTAGCATCAATGTCTTTTGAATTTTCATGAGTCAATGCCAACTCCAGTTTTATATAAAATTCTCTTATCTGTTTTGCTGTTTTCTTTTGCAAGCTGTGGATATCATATAGAAAGCCAAATACTGAATCTAGCTGCTGCATCTGTTGAAATCTTTTGTCAACCGAGTGAATAGCGGTACCAAGGACTGCAAAGTAGAAATTCACTTTGAACCTTTGTTTTGGGTTCTGCATGGGTGTGTCTCATCCTTCATATGAAAATTGCTGTTTCTTTTGCTGAATGCAAACTGGCTCTGGTTCAAATTCTGTCGGAAAGTCTATTTCTTCAGCAAGCTCAAGAGAATCTACCAGTGTTCTTTCAAACCCTTCATCACTTCTGAATTCCTCCAGAATATTTTTAGTTTTCTGCAGTTTTTGATAGCAGACTGTATGCTCAGGTTCTTTTCCTGAGGCTGCTTACTAGCGAGGTTAATCTCGAAAAGGATATTATACCACAAAATGAGTGAAGTCACAAATTTGAACTTGGAAAGGCCATTTGCAAGAGCTTCTGCATCTGAATGTGCCGTATTACCAAATGATCCAGTAAAGGTAGTGTCATCAGAAATTTCAATTAGGGCATCATAAATGTTTCCAAGTTCATAGTGAAGAGGCTTCAAAGCAGCAATGCGACTCTCCCATCTTGTCTAAGTGGTTTCACAGTTAGAGAATTCACATGGCGAGTCAGAATCTCCCAACGGCGTGTTGAGCCTGAGAAAAAACACAAACACGTTGCACCAGGTCCAAGAAACTGCTTGCCTCCAAACAGCATCTAGCAGCATCACTGACAACCAAATTCAGAGAATGAGCATTGCAAGGAATGAAAAAGGCCCTAGGATTGACTTCCATCATTTTCTTTATTCAAGATCTTGTAGAATAGTTTCAGTCATAAATGCTCCAGCCGTTTCCTTCAGTGGTACGAAACCCCAAAAAATGTTCCTTTATGAGCCCTTCAACACTATCTTCATCTGCAGACTTTTCCATATTCACAAAACAAATGATCATCGTCATTTGTCCAACATGACTCACGTGGTGTACAGTCCAGTATTATTGAAAAGTATTTT